GCTGTGGGCCCAGGACATATTATCATCTTCACTATGTCTCTCTCTCTCCTCTTGGAAGTCTTTGGATGATATTCCTCCTTCCCCCACCCTCCTTGCCCTCCTTAATAAAAAAATATACACACACAGCAAAAAAATCTCTATTCTCACACATCACATCTTCCAGACAACACATACATCCTCCATGTTAATGCTTTAGGGGTTAATAGGTTCACTTGCAAAATTTCACTCCCTTTCCTCACACTTGTCTTTCCTGCTCTGCCATATGTGTCCTAAAATCTGCCTTTCAATTTAGAGCTTGTTAATTTTCCAAATAAAAATGTAGCCCTGAAAGCTACATCATCACAACATCCTGCACTTAAATAATCTGAATATTGGAGAGCATAAAGGAGACTCTGCCTGTTTTTTCTGCCTGCAGTGTTGCAACAGGAACATGATACACTTCTCATAGGCAATCAGGGCACACATCACTCAGCTCCAATGTAAATCAGATTACATGCTCAGGTGCTGGATTACTTGCCTTGTACTAGTTGTGCACTTCCTGGGATCCACTAAACAGCATGTAGGTTGATGATCTAGATGGCCTTTGTTGTTGGGCAATGTTTTCAATGGGTTAATATATGTCAAATTCTGTTACATTGTAGGCTTGTTGTGAATGGTGAAATAAGATCATAAAAGGTTTTATTCTGAAACTCCTGAAGTCAACTCTGTTTTTATTTTCCTCAGAGTTTAAACAAAATATGTGGAGGTGCACCTGGACTGTATTGTTAGGAAATTGTTCTCCATCTTATCCTGACTTTTGGGGCTAAAAAAAAATCCTGTATGATTTTGGCACTCTATGCTTAATGCTCCAGATGTCTAGTTTCTTCTTAATTTATTTTTTTCTCATTACAATGTAAAAACCATTCAGCTGTAACAGCTATACCTACTACACAATGCCTTAAAACCATCTGCTAGAATCTGGTTATTTTGTGATTTGTCCATGATACAGAATACCTCCAGATTTAAGGTAGCGTATTTGCACAAGCAACAGAAGATGTACTAATGTGCAATAAAACTGCTAGTAAGAATTAGGAATCACGTAAGGATACTTCTAAAGCATCATATTTGAAAAAATGTACTTATAATTTTTTTAAAGCAACCACGTAATTTTATCAATATGGCAAATCAGCAGTGATTGTTGTTTGATGGGTATAGACATGTGCTTGAGCAGTATCTTCTGAGTCCTGCAAAAAATATGTTGATCTACAGTCAATGTGTGGATGTAAATAATGCAATATCCCTCACTTCAATTCACTTTTCTGGCTTGCTTGCTTTTTTTTTTTTTTTTTCTTTAAGGTGTAGAAGTATGTGGATTTGGAGTTTTTTGTGTGGATTACAGTAAAACAATATTCTTCTATTGCAGCACATCACTGAATGAGATGATCAGGCTATATTTTTTGTTAGCCTTGAGAAGAGAGCTAGGAACTGCTGAAAGCAGTGAGAATATACAGCATCAGTGAGAACTGAGTCATTATTGCTTTCTTTCAGATAGGCTAGAGGACAGTAACAAATATTCCTGATGAAGTCAGACTACTGTCTAAGGTATTTTTGTATATTTACTTAGAAAGTGTCATGGGCCTCCGGATCGTGCTCTAAAATACTCACATGCAAGCCAGCTCCTCCATGTGCTACATCAGTCCAGCCCTGCTGGTAAGCTCTGCTGAGGGGTAAAACAGAGGATATTGTGTTCAGCCTTTGGTTAGAGAGCTTCCTGGCTGCAGCTGGTGCTAAGCCAGCAGATTGGGAGCATGGGCAGAGTGAGCAAGCAGCTATGGGCATCTTATAAAGTAGATGTGTCCCCCTGTAATGAGAAAGGCAAACAGGAGTCAGCACTGATGGGGCCATGAGGTCTGGGTTGCATTTTTTTTTGGTAAGCTTTGTGGCACTGAAAATTGGAAATAGCTCTTTGTGTATAGAGTGAGAGCAAGCGTAAGGAAAGCTGGGGGTTATGTCCTCACCATATCTCCTTTAACATGTTACCTGTTGTGTTCTGCCAGTTTATATAGGCTGAAGTCTTGGATTTTAAGTTATTGATTGAGATTACCAAGTAAACAAGGGGGAAGTTGGTGGAAACTGGTGTTATTTAGGGAAGTGCATCATTAAAATTGTGTTGCAGTGGGAGGATGGAGACACAAGCACCTGCTCTGTGGACAAATTTAGTTATAAAACCCAGTTCCCTTGTAATCAGTAGAGCATACCTAGCAAATGTGGGACCTAGCTCACTTGCTTTCTATGGAGGATTTTCATCTTGTTTGAGCAGAACTGGAATTTTGACAGAGCTGCTTGATTAGAATAAATGGAGCATTCCTATCAAATGCAGGAAACTAATGAATTAATGGGTAAGCTCCATAAATTTCAATACAGTGCTAAATGTGTTAAAAGATATGACAGAGAGGTTGCTGCATATGTGCACTTACCAATTTTCTTAATGCTAAATTCTAGCTGATTTTAAGTTCTTTTTAAAGATTCCATAAAACATGAGTACAAACATTGTTTTTATGTTTAGAAAGGTAAATAAACATCTGTTTTGTGGTATAAAACCAGGAAAAATAATGTGAAAATATTCTTTATGGTAGGAACTCCCATTCAAAAGTGGCCTCATTTAGTGCCTTCATTTTCAGATAAATTGTTTCAGGCCCAGAGAAAATCTCAGCCAATTTTCATCACAGGAAAAATTTTGCATTTATACAAATCCACTTCTTCCTCCCAAAATACATTCTCAGTTATATAAGAAGACAACAACAATAACAGCCTGAACAACAATAACATAAACAGGGTGATATAATTTGCATTGTTATTTTACAGTGCATCTTTTCTTGTGTATTTCCATGACTCATGTTGCATCAACAAACAGTAACTTAAACTCCACCTATTTTCAAAAAAAACTGTAACTGATAAATTTTATGCATGGACTTTTAGGAAACATAAGTTTAACAGAGGGCAGGTTGGTGATAAACAAAGGAGGAGAGTGTAAGAGAGTTTTAACAGGCCATTCCACCTCCTCTTAACATTCTTTTGAGGAGAACAAGTGATTTACGCAGTATTTAATCCCATTTATATCTTGTTAAAGAATGGAATCTTGTCATAGAATCATAGAAGTGTTTGGGTTTGAAGGGGCCTTAAAGATCATCTAGTTCTAATCCCCTTGAATGGGCAGGAACACCTCCCACTAGACCAGGTTGCTCAGAGCCCCATCTAGCCTGATCTTGAACACTTCCAGGGATAAGGCATCCAGAACTTCCCTGGGTAACATGTGCCAGTGTCTCACCACCCTCACAGGAAAGAATTTCTTCCTAATATCTGGTCTAAATCTGCTTTCTTTCAGTTTGAAACTGTTCTTCCTTGTCCTATCACTACATAACCTTGTAAAAAGGCATTGTCCTTTCCAAATCCATGCTCTCATACACCCCACCTCCATCTTTCTGCATTTCCTACAGCAACTTGTATCAACACTTGTTCAGTTTTGGTCCCCGCTCTACAAAAAGGGTGCAGACAGGTTGGAGAGGGCTGCAAGGTTGATCAGAGGACTGGAGAACCTGCCATATGAGGAGAGCCTGAGAAAATTGGGTTTGTTCAGTCTTGAGAAGAGAAGGCTTTGGGAACACTTAATAACCATATTCCAGTACTTAACGGGTGGCTACAGGGAAGATGGAGACTCCTTGTTTACAAGGATTCACATGGAAAAGACAAGGGGTAATGGGCACAAGTTGCTCCTGGAGAGATTCCAATTGGACACAAGAGGTAAATTTTTCACCCTGAGGACGGTCAAATGTCGGAATAGTTTCCCAAAGTAAGCGGTAGATTCCCCCACACTGGCCAGTTTTAAGTCTCAGCTTGACAGGGTGCTGAGCCACCTCATATAAACTATAGCAGTACCTAGAAAGGTTGGACCGGATGATCCTTGAGGTCCTTTCCATGCTGGCATTCTATGATTCTATAACTTGACAGAAAATAAAATTCTGCTGCAGGTTTTACAATGAAGGAATAAAAGCAGATATCAGTTCATTATTCTTTTAGTCTCTCTTGCTGGGACTTTGTCTTTCTGTGGGGATTATCTCCATTGCAAGACAACTGCCTTGGCTGGGAAAAGAAAGGCTAGAGATTCCTTACAACACTTGCACTGTTAAGTGTATGTACATTCACTAATATAATGAATCACAGAAAAATCACAGCTTGACAACCTTTAAGTTTTTCCTGATGTTGTTTGAATGTCCCAACCCGCAGTTGGTCACTGTTGTTGCTGGTTAATGGCTCTGAAGAGTTTATCTCCACAGTTTTTGTAAGCCCCTTCAAGCAGTGGTGGGCTGTAATCAGATCTTTCTTTGCCTCAGAACCTATCCTTCGTCACACAAAACAAATCCAGCTCTCTGAACGTTCCTTCAGCTTCTTTAGGTTCCAGCTGCCATGGTGTCTGCCACAGAGCCCTCTACTGCTTCTCAGCAGCCTTCTTGAACTGTGGAGGGGAAAGACAGGCATATTATCACAGCTGCTGTCTCACCAGCACTGAGTAGAGAGGGATAATAACTTTTCTTGATCTGCTGGCTGTACACTTGATGTAGTCAGTAGGAGATTTGCTTTATCTGTGATCAGAAAGTGTGCTGTTGGCTCATTTTCAGCTTGGAAGCAGCCATCACCTCAAGGTCCTTTTCAGCAAGGCAAAAATGTCTATATAGATAATGCATCCTTGGAGAGGAAACAGGGAACACAGTCTTGAAAAACAGCAATACATGCTTTCTCCTCTCTCAAAAATGAAAAAAAAAATATAATCTGATGCTTCCCTTGTAGTTGGGACTAATGACAATTTTGAAAGGAGGAAGTAACCAAAATCTGAGAACATGCTTTTATTTTGCTTCCTGATTTTATAAGATAATATGCATTGTTTGGAAATATAATAATCAATCCTGTTAAATCATGTTGAATCAGCTTATATAATAACACCTATATTTTATCATTCATTTCAGATTTCAGAGACCTATGCCTTTCTACCGAGAGAAGCGGTGACACGATTTCTAATGAGCTGCTCAGAGTGCCAGAAAAGAATGCATTTAAACCCAGATGGAGCGGATCATAAAGGTAGTTTTAGTGTCAAGTAGTGGGATGTGAAGTAATTTTATTCCTAGTACCCATTTATATTTTCCTAGTTTAAGTGAGGGTTCATAAAAACTTGGTAGACTGGAGCAGTTCAGTAAGTCAGATCATCTAATTTATTTAATCTGGAAGGTAGTGACTCTTCTACTTTCACTAAAGGTTGGAGTGTACTACCATGTGCACCCTCAATAGAAAGATTATTTTATCTGGAGGAAATAATGTATTTTGCTCTGGAAATGTTTATGTGGCAGCTTAAACATAAGGAATATTTGGGGTGTGTGTGCTGTAGTCATATAGGATAGAACTCATCACTTTTCAGGGCTTGAACTTGATTTTCATTTTTCCTTGAGAGACTTCCATCTGTACAGTCTACAAGCAATTGAAAATGCCAAAGTTAGAACTAAATGACATAACTGTCTGACTTGGACTGCAGAGTAGGCGAAGCAGCATCTTCAATTAACACAGAATACATTATAAATATTTTCATTGCAGATAATGGAAAACCTCCAACTCTGGTGACCAGTATGATTGATTACAATATGCCAATTACTATGGCCTACATGAAACACATGAAGCTGCAGCTACTAAATTCACAGCAAGATGAGGTAAAACTTTAAATATTTTGGTTTTCTGTTCTCCTGTGTGTTCAGGTGCTTGTCTTTGCAGATGAATCTTGATTCCATCTTTATAATTTCATTGCTAAAATAGCGAGACTGAAACCAAACCAAGACTGTGTGCAAGAAATCAAGTTTGAGAGACAATGTCGTGACTTGCCACCCTTCCATGGTTGGGGGTAATATGCTGTACTGCTTCAAATTACCTGAAGGTGCTGTTTTACTGTCTGGACCAGTGGAAAGGTTGAGGAGGTCAGCACACTCAGCTGAGACTTAATTTTGTGCTCAGGAGTGATTTTCATTGTCTATTTCTACAGAGCAATACCATCAACAGCTGAAATTAATGCCATGACGTTCTCAAGATTAGCAGCCAGGTTGCAGTGTATTAATAGTGAGAGAAATGGAAGCTCTGGCAAAATCAGTTGAAATCTTCAAGACAAAAAGCTTGATAAATAAAAGTAGGGGCTGCTTATGAAGCTTTGAATAAAAAGACAGAAAAGAAGGAAGAGAAGGAGGCTGAGGATCAGAGACAATTGGAGTCAAATTGCATTTATTTATTCTTGAAAATAATTTTCTTTTTCTGATGCATTCAGAGTTTTTTCAGATCTTTAGAGTGCTTCATCAATTGGATGGCACCTACCAAATTACTTGTAATAAACTCATTTTGCTAGAAATGTGTTCATTTTCCATTTGATCTGCCAAATATTGAGAAATCTGGCTACGTGCCAACCAAAAAGCTGTCCTGCATACTGTGTCCTTCTGCCTGACTACAAGATTCTTTTTTTAATGAAGAAGACCCTCAAAGCTAACCTTAGCAGCTGGATTATGTCAAAGACCCTGACTGACTCCTGACTTCTGCGGAATCAGCCAGATTTTGTTTAATAATAAGTAGATATGGGCTTTTGGTCGAGATTTATGAATTATTCAACACCCCATTGAATGGGAATTTTATCACTGTTCTGGAAATATCATGATCCTTTTTTCAAATATGCCTTTTTTAAAATTGTTGAGGGCTTAGGGAAGAGATCCTGCCTCTGAGTTTTTTGTGCACAAATACAGCCTGGTTGTCTTTCCCTCCTATTGAGTCTCCCTTCTGTGTGCTGTCTCTTTTCAGGAATCTGGCAGCAGGGTTTCAAGCAGTAGGAGAGAAGAGACTTTATTCCTGCAGTAGCTTTAGGAGTTAAAGGACTCTCTGCTTTTCCCACTTTTTCCCTTTGAGAATTACTTCTTCCACAGCTGGGTCAAGCAATCATGCTAGATCAGGGCCACCTGCCACAGTGCTTCTACAGCCTGAATGTTTTGGTGTAGTCTTCCTAGTATGATGACTGCAATTTTTGCTAAACCAGTTTTTCATTTGGATGAACCAGTGGCAATGATAAGGTGGTGGCAGGAAGCACTATTGCTTGATGTCTCCCTGGCCTGCTTGGTTTTGCAGCTCTAATGTTATTGTACATGAAATGTTTGCAGTGCTAGATTTATGGATTAGTAATTTTTTGTATGTTTTATTAATAATGTGTTTGCCAGGGCACAGTTGGCACAAGAAAGCTTGTCAGTTTAATCTTTACATCTTTTCTCAAAGCAGAGTTTTGCTACGAATTTCTTTTTTCTTCGGCTGTACGTTTGTTGCACTGTGAACAAAAATGGCAGCGAAAATGTTGTAGTACAAAGCAGGAAGATTTCTGGTGCATGCATTCAAATTATTTCATGCACTTAAAAAACATGCTTGGGTTTGTAGGAAGGTTCTGTTTCCAAGGTTTCATTAATCATATCTGTATTCTTGTGGAGGGGGTGGAATTGAGACAGGAGTAAACTTAGACCCCACAACTAGCTAGCACAGTGATTGAAAGCCTCCTAATTCTCTCATCTTCAATTCATCATTTTTAAGCTAAGGTCATTGGTGAAAAGGAAGACCAGGAGAACTTGTCACTGTGTGGGAATTTACAGTTGTGCAGAAGCTGGTAAGATGCCAGTGGCTCCCAGATCCTCTCTCCATGCCTGTGTGTCCACAGATAAATGGTTAGACAGTTTGGGGAGCAAGGTGGAGATATTCTGCAGAGTGCCATAGGCAAGCACAGGCATCCCATGTGTGTATTTTTATACCTATACAAGTGTTGGATAGCGAGAGCTCCCTTTCTGGGAGCTCATACCGACTTCCTAACCCCAGAACTGGAAAATGTAAGCAGCTGCATTGCTTGTTCCTGCAGGGATCAGTGAGAAACATCACTGTGCCTTAACAGAGGCGCATCCTTCCAGAAGGTCTGAGGGAGTCTGTGTTCTGATCTTGCTCTTTAAGAAGCAGTGTGTATTTTCCCAAAACCTCAGAACCATCTCAGCTTGGGCCTCAGTCCTGTCTGTCCAAGGCAGGCAGCTAGTGAGCACCATGTCCCACAATTCTTGTGTGAGGGAATCCTCAGGTATTTGCTGCTGCTGTAACTTGCAAGCTCCACCCTTACCTGGGCAAGGTGGGCAGGTGCCCACTATAGAAGCCCTCACTCCTCCATTTATTTTGTTTACAAAACCTGGATAAGTAGGTATGTTTCTTTCATTATTTGTCATTGTCATGGTGTGACAGTGCAGAGCAGCGTTTGGCAATGCTTCCTCCCCATCCTCTGCCCTCCACCCCCAAGAGTTGTGACTGCAGGGAACTTCCCTTTCAAAAATGTGAGAAACACCCATGCAAGCTGGGAACATCACTGAGACCCAAAAGAGGAATTGATGTAAGGGCTGAGTGCTCAGAAAGAAGAAAGCAGCTCTATTAAGGTCTGTGGAAACCAGTTCAAAATGAGTGTACACAAAGTAATACCCTAAAGATTGCTGTTTTCCTAAGTCTTTTCTGGTGAGCAATCCAGAAAAACCAGTCAGAATCCTGTTGGGTAAATTTCTAGTTTTATTTTAAAAAAAAGAAAGAAAGAAAAAAGTATTATTTGGAAAACTATTTAAAAGTAATCTTTAGGGAACACAAAGTTGTCTGACATTTTTCTGTATGTCCTTTAAATTATTGTCACGGTTTGACTCAGGATTGGCAATTAAACCGGCAACAACAGTGCTCTCTATACCCTCCCCCTCCCACCCAGGTAGGGAAGGAGAGAGCCTTCCAGGTTGAAAACTAAACTAGACAGCTTTAATTAAATACTAATGATAAAAGAAAATATGTACAATTATATACAAATGTGTTCAGGAGTATACAAAACCCCTATGGCCTCCCCCCACCCCCAGCAACTCCCAGGGCACCTCCTGAGCTGTGAGCAGTTCTGAAATGTCCCAGAGCTGGGCAACAACAGTGCTCTCTATACCCTCCCCCTCCCACCCAGGTAGGGAAGGAGAGAGCCTTCCAGGTTGAAAACTAAACTAGACAGCTTTAATTAAATACTAATGATAAAAGAAAATATGTACAATTATATACAAATGTGTTCAGGAGTATACAAAACCCCTATGGCCTCCCCCCACCCCCAGCAACTCCCAGGGCACCTCCTGAGCTGTGAGTAGTTCTGAAATGTCCCAGAGCTGCTGGAGCGCGCAGCAGGCAGGAGCTGAGAGGAGAGTGATGAGGGTCAGGAATGCACAGACCTAGGGATCAATGGTGATGGAGAGATGGAGTCCTCCCTGGATGCAGGCCACGGACGGAAGAGAAGGGAAGAAGAAAAAGGAAGGGTTTTAACTTCCGTGATCTTTGACCTTACACAGAGTCTTACATGTACATATATGTGTATGGAATATCTCTGGCCAAATTTGCTCTCCGTCTAGTCCGCTCCTCACTATGGGAGGGCTGCAGATACGACTCTTCTGCTCCTTTACTATCCTAAGCGGATTCAACAAGTACAGCAGAGTGACTTTGGTGTCTCAGCAGCAACATAAACATTCCAGCCTTTTCAGTCCACTAGATAGAAAACTTGCTACTAGTTAAGAGAGCTCACTGAAGGGGAAAAAAAATACCAGTAAAATTGGCTTCATCCTGGCACTCAGGACACTCTTCTTTGTAATAGGAGTAATTATCTCAGAAAAAGTTGTTTCTGGAAATGTATCACTGTAGATTTGTGTGCTGCCTACAGAGAAAAACTTGGGAATGTGTAATTTTTAATTAATGAATGCACACATGAACTTCAGTGAGACTCAAAAATGTAGTTAAATATGAATGTGAGTATTTGCTGGAGTAGGCCCAAAACTGTTTTGCTTCTATAACTGGAGACAAAATATTTTATTAGGACTTTTTTTGCCCTCTGCTGTCTTCCCTAGTAGACACTCTGTAATTAGAGTTGATGGATAAATCATATTAAAGATGTATGAGGTAGAATAAATTTTATGTGATTCTCATATGATTATATTACTTTGGTTTGCCATTGCCTGTCATTTGAGAATGCTCAGAACTTTAATAAGCTTTATAACTTTAATAAATGCTTCTTTAAACACAGTAGCAGTATAAGGGTGACATCATGTCAAGAGAATTTGGTTGTGAAGTCTTACTAGCTCCAGCTGGCATTCTGAAATCTTACTCTGACTGGTCGCCATGGGGCTACTGACCTCACTTGGGTAAGGCAGAGAATTCAGGCAAGGAATGTGGAGACCTCTCCTCAACTACATTCGAATAACAAGGACTTGGTATGGGGTCTGTTGTTACTAGCTCTCTTTTACAAAATACTATGAAAACAGTTACGAGTATGGTAATGGAGTATCCTCATAGTTGAAAAAATTGCATTTGTCAGATTATCATATCACATGAACACTATGTTTTCCTTGCTCTTCTTTATGTGCTCTGCTTATTTGCTTATATACATAAAGACTGAGCATCATTACATGCCATGCCAGGTGTGAGTGGGAGGAACAGGAATGAGTGAGATGCACATAAAATGCAGAGACCATACAATGTTTTCTGACACATCTCTGAAACTTTCAATTTGCAGGATGAAAGCTCTATGGAAAGTGATGAGTTTGATATGAGTGACTCGACTAGGATGTCAGCCGTGAACTCTGACCTCAGCTCAAATCTGGAAGAGAGAATGCAAAGTCCTCAGAACCTCCAGGGCCAGCAGGATGGTAAGGCTCTCATTTCATACAAAATATGTGGTATCGCCGTGTCTTTTTCCCATTCTGTGCCTTCATTTAGTACCTGCTGTGTCCTTTTCTTTATGGTGTGTTTCATTATGTAATTTTGAAATATGTGTTCCCTATGTCTCAGCATGAAGAGGATAAAGTTGAAGGGTTTTTTGCAGGTTAATTTATTTGTTGCTTAGGTAACAGAGATTGCTTAGACTACTATATGTTAAGTATTATTATTTTACTGTTTTTAAATATGTAGTGTTACCATACACAGGCATAAAAGGAAATGACATTTAAACTTTTCTGAGGCAACCAAACAGGCTGAGAAACTTGGTTTTACTGGTTGAAATGAGGGAGAGGGGTATGGCAGAAGCATAGTTGTTGGAGAGCTAGGAGTTGGGGTGTTATATTCAGAAGAAAGGATGAAAAGGACAAACTCAAACAGGCAAATAGAGGTAAAAGAAGAGAAAACAGAAGGAGTAGAATTGTAATCTGAATGTTAATTATTTATAGGTTAGTTATAGCACAAAGCTTACTTGTTGGTGAAAGAAATAGAAGTTTTATTTTGCACAGAAGACACACTGGTCTGTACTCTGATTCCAGCCCTTCTTACAGAATGAGTTAACTGGGCCTGGTTTGGAGTGAACTTTCTCCTTGTCTGTGGAGTGCACACTGAGCCTGTATGCTATAGGCTGCACCAGTGATTCATGGGTGGCACCTGAATGTGGAACACCCAAAGCGCAGATCTATCCTGTCACTATTAGAAACAGCATGCTAGTGTTCTGTGTTTGTAGTTCCCTAATCATGTGTGCCAATTCAGAAGTGCTTCTTATATTTCTCCTGAACACTAAATATATGGAATTTGATAGTGAAGGTGGATTCTCTCCACTTTATGTGGAAACTTTTTTACCAGTTGCTGGCTGGTGACCTGTTAGGGTGAGAATGAATGTGCTGCATGGTGGGTGATAGGATCTGGTGATGGGTAGGTCCTTCTGCTGTGTTACTCTCCAGACAAATAAGAAGGATGATGTCTATGATAATTTGATAGACCAGATTCTAACCACAACTGCCTTTTGTCTGAGTGTCCAAATTATTACAACATTTGTGAAACTTTTGAATTAGTCTACGGATGTTCATTAAAGGAGCAGTTCTGAA